AAAACAGTGAACCAGACATAAACAGAGGCTTGAAAAGTGTTTGTCACTGTAGTTTCTTCCCATTACTGTTCTTTGGAGTCCTCAAAACTACTAGACGAAGAAGCCTATGTTCTAGCTGGGACATATGAGAATATGCAGAGCAAAAACAAGCAGACACAACCAATTTCCTCTATAGCAGTGATGCTGTCAGACACTACACAGGTGAATGAGACCATCCTAGACCATCTGACCATCACCAGTTGACCCTTCAGCTGACTGAAGGTATACAAGCAAGACCATCAGAGAGACACTGGGATGGTCAGACCAGAGAAACCACCACTGTGAACTGAATAAATGGCTGGTTTTTTTAAATCTAATTTATTTATTTGAGACAGCGAGTAAAAGAGAGCATGATGGGGAGAAGGTCAGAGGGAGAAGCAGACTCCCCATGGAGCTGGGAGCCCAATGAGGGACTTGATCCTGGGACTCCGGGATCATAACTTGAGCCAAAGATAGTTGCTTAACTGAGCCACCCAGGCACCCCTAAATGGCTATTATTTTTTCTTTTTTTTTTTTTTAAAGATTATTTATTTGACAGGCAGAGATCACAAGTAGGCAGAGAGGCAGGCAGAGAGAGAGGAGGAAGCAGGCTCCCTGCTGAGCAGAGAGCCTGATGCGGGGCTCAATTCCAGAACCCTGGAATCATGACCTGAGCCGAAGGCAGAGGCTTTAACCCACTAAGCCACCCAGGCACCCCCTAAATGGCTATTTTTAAATGACACTGAGTTTAGGTAGTTTGTTTTTCAGTATTAGTTAATTGGCGTAGACTTGTGCATGTGTATGTTCCCACAAACTCTTCTTGGTGAATTTTGAGTCCCTGAAGGCAAAGGACCACAGCTCATTAGAAGGTCAAATTCAGGTCCTTGCCTTTGGTACTGAGGTTGGCAGTGACACAAGGGGACCTCTGTGAACAAAGAGCAATGCCAGCTGACTCTCCCTGAAGTACGACTCACTTGTGGCTCATCTCTCATACATTACTAAACGTGAGGGATCTTTGGGGTAGACCAAAATTCCCATCTGCAGAGAATCCACCATTATGGTTTGCTTCCTGAGCATATACCCACCTTGTTCCAAGAACAGCTTCCAATTTTTATTCAGAGCAATCCCTTGCTCATTCTCAGTTCATGTGGTTTGGGTGGCAATCTGCCAATGGGTCAAGAAGTCCAGCTTATGATACATGTGGTCAGTTGTCTCTGAGAGGACGCCCAGGGGCCCCCAACTCTGGGGATGCTCACCTTGGGTAAGGCCTTCCCCTTGAGTGTGGGCTGCATTTATTGACTTGCTTTTTTTTTTAAGATTATATTTATTTATTTGTCAAAGAGAGAGAGAGCATGAGCAGGGAGAGGGGCAGAGGGAGAGGGAAAAACAGGCCTCCGGCTGAGCAGGGAGCTCGATGCAGGACAAGATCCCAGGACACTGGGATCATGACCTGAGCTGAAGACAGACACTTAACTGACTGAGCCACCCGATGTCCCTATTGACTTGCTTCTAGAGAACAGAAAACAGAAATGTGACAGGATGTTGCCTCTGAGATTAACGGCTTCCAAATTGGACATCTGAATCATTTGCCGCGGGGGAAGCCAGTTGCCATGTCCAGACAGTCTTCTGGAGAAGCCTATCCGGTGAGGAACTGGAGCTGCCAACGACCGTGTGAGTGAGTAAGCTTGGAGGCGAGTCCTGTCTACTCCCAGTTGATCCTTCATGTTGCTGCAGCCCCGGCCAATAGCTTGATAGCAACCTCATGAGAGTGGTTACACCAGCTGCACCACACCTAGCTTTCTTGCCTGCAGACACTGAGATCGAGTGCATGCTGGTTGCTTCAGAGTTGGGGAGTAACTTGTTATACAGAAATGGATAGCTAATACAACCTAGATCTGGCCGATCACAGTACCTCCCCCAGCTCCCTGCTCCACTCCAGCCATAGTGCTGAGTTCAGGAGTGTACATGTGACCAGGCCGAGCCAATCAGAGTAAACTGCAGGACTTTCATAGGAGCTCTCACTCATTTCTCATTGGACATGATCCTAGCAAGATGAGAAGCTGGGACTTCTGCATCTTCTTGTCCCCATGAATAGAAAGTCCTGGGCTGGGGGCACCTAAGTGGCTCAGTCAGTTAAATGTCTGCCTTCAGCTCAGGTCATGATCCCACACAGACATCAAGCCCCACATCGGGCTCCCTGCTCAGCAAAGGGCCTGTTTCTCCCTCTCCCTCTGCCTCTCTCCCTGCTCCTGCTCTTTCTCTCACTCAAATAAATAAAATCGAAAAAAAAAAAAAAAAGGATAGTCCTGGGCTATCTGATTGGGTCTCTATATCCCCAGCACCCAGAATTGTGCCTGGCTCAAAGTAGGTGCTCAACACATAGGAAAGGAAAGGGCTTATATCCAACAGAAGGAGAAAACAGGGGCCAGCATGACGTGGGGAAGAAGCAGAAGTAGCAATAGCAAACTCTTCTCTATTGTCATCTTTAAATGAAACGTCATCAAAGGTCTACAGAAAGCACATTTATTTTTGTTTTCTAAATGCAATGCATGGAACACACAGTTTCTTCCTTATGTTTAAGTTGGCTTTCCCCGATTTTAACTGGCAGGGTTTCTAAAATTCTGCAAAAAATGCACTAGGATCAATGGATTCACTACATCTGCCCAATGCTCCATTTACTGGGCGTTTTCCAAGGAGGCAGGAGATGAATAAAGGCTGTGGAGTCACAACACACTGGGTGTGACAGGTTTGCTCTTTTCTGCTACCCACTGGCATGAGCGGCTCTGAAGGCATGTGCGATAGATTGGATTAGTTCATCTTTCAAAAAGAAAATAGAAGCATGATTTCATTCAGAGAAGATATCAGGCTGACACCCAGTGATTCATTAAGGTGCCACTCTGATCTCCAACAGTGGGCTCCTTATCGTGCTGACAAATTTTATTTTCTCCCTTTTCTGGCCTCCCAGGGCAAGAACGATTGTGGAGAAAAGGGCATATGCTTTTTTTTTTTTTCTCCTTTTGGAAGATGTCAAATTAGGAGAAAACAGTAGAAAGTAAGTGGTTTTACAAATAGTGACATCATCATAGACCACAGAACAGTGTACTCTCAGGACATCTGGGTGGCACAGTTTGTTAAGCGTCTGACTCTTGGTTCCAGCTCAAGTTGTGATCTCAGGGTTGTGAGATCGAGCCCTACTTTAGGCTCCATGCTCTGTGCATGGAGAGTCTGCTTGGGATTCTCTCTCCCTCTCACTCTGCCCCTCCAGGTCATTCTCTGTCTCTAGAATATATACATCAATTGAAAAGAAAGAAAGAAAACTGTTCTCTTTGTACCGACAGCAACTTCCTTGCTGAATTTTGTTACAGGTGGATTGAATGAAACCTTTGGTAAGCACTTCGTGCTTGAGGATTTAATACACTTGAGCCATGCTGAATGGATTACTGAACAGATCCCCTGATTCTGGGCACAGAAAATTTTGAGGTCATTAAGTCTGTGATTCCAATGGCAGAAGTTTCAGCCTCAAATCTATAGTAGCCAGGTACATGGATAGAGAGTGTAATACAACAGGGCACGGTGGAGACTGGGGCAGAGCTTGAGTCCACCTTGCTTTTAAAGGAGACAGCCATTTCTCAGTTTGGTTGAATTATTTCCACAGGGGAACCAGGGCCAGGGCTGATTTTTTTTTTTAAGTGAATCTGAAAACCCTAGAATTTATATAGAATATCCCATTTTTTTTTTTAAATGTTGGCAATGAAATAAGATTGTGTGTGTGCAAAACAAAGCTTGTCCATCAGCTGCATCGGCCTGTGGCTCTCAAGCTTATAACCCACCCTTGTACCAGGGCCTATTTAAAAGCAGACATGTTAACAAGAGAGCTTGCATATATTAACTTAGTTTAATCATATCAATTCTTAAACAAAAAATTTCCTCCAAGAGACAATAGTTCACAGTAACTGCAAAGCTTACTCACAATTTTTAAAAATACCAGTCATGCTTAGCATTCAAAGAAGATATGGTAGGATAACTGTAAAAACATTTACCAGGAACATCAGCTTCTGACTTTAAAAATTACAAATACCGAAGCATTTTGGTATCAGACACAGTAGGTTTGACATCGTCTGTTCATTTTGATGAGTTTCTGGAAGTTTGGAAAATTGTTCCTTCTAATTGGAGAAAGCGCTTACTCTAAACTAAACATTTTCAAATGTAGAAAACAAACTAGCAAGCTACACATACAAAGAAAAGCCCTCGAGGACAAGCCCTCCACGCGCTGACTGCCAGGCTGCATACGACGCACCATGGATCCTGGAAGACTAGAATTGATACATACACTTGGCCTGAAGTCTAACACTCCAGTGTGGACAACGGAGTCGCATTCGCCTACACATTAATGACAAACTCTGGGTTAGTATAGGAGAAGCCAGCAAATTCATTTTGGTCCAAGTTCATGATGAAGAGTTTATCAGTAGGCGTGAGTTCCACAGGCTGTCTGGTGAACTCTTTGTCGAAGTTGGAGGTGTCTCGCTTGTCTCTCTGCCAAACGGAAAGCAAACACATTAACACAGCGTAAGAAGGAAGCGCGACCCACACCTGCCAGTTAGTGGGAAGCCGATGACACCTGACAGGCCAAGTCAGAAAGAGCCCCCTGCTGAGCTGTTTAGCAGGTGCTGTGTGCATACTATCCCCTGCCTTTCACTTCACGTTGAATGTTGGCTTCGGGAGAGAACACTTGGTGGCGATTGCCTAAGAAAGGAAACGAAACATTGAATTTCTTGAAGGATTGTCATAAAGTGGACTGGGGGTGTTTCTGTTTTCTTTGGCTTTGAGATGAACTGAACTGGAAACTACTTCTTACCAGTGGAAAATGTCATAGAATTAGTCACGGGGTAGAGCGTCCCGGAGGAAACCATCCCACAGCGACCCCTGTGGCGAGGAGGCTCCTTTTCCTTAAAAGGGAGAGCGGCGGCGGCACAGCCACTCAGTTGCCAAGGAGGTGGAGGGAGTGGCATGTGGGGACATCAGATCGTTGCCTGACGAAAGGAGCTGATCCCTGTCCATCCCACATCCCCTGGTGCCAACTAGGCTTTGAAGGGATGTTAAGAAATCCACCCACAGACTAGAATTTGGGTCTTCATCAGCCACAGGCTGTCTCCAAGGATGGTTATAGCATAGCATGTATCTAGTCAACAGGCTCTAAGAAACAAAACCCAAAGCTTAAAGTGAGGTCTCTAGGGGCAGCCTTAAAACAAAAATTCTATTCTCCTGGTTAGCCTGACATTTCTGTTTCGGGTTGGGGGTCCCAGGCTGCTAACTACAGTTTGGGGCAACCGTTTCCAGGGAATGGCAGAGTGTGGGCTCATAAAAACACCTCACGTCTGTATGATGTTCTCACCTGCTCAGGGTCCTGCAGACTCTCGTTCCTTCCCATCCTCACCACCCACCTGAGGGCAGGAGGAGATGGAGTCCTGTCTTTCCGCCCCCACCCCCCGCCACGGTTTGACATAGGAGAAGACGGGTGCAGGAAGATACAGTGACTTGCCCAAGGCTGCACAATGCAGTGGTGATCTCTACCTGACCACGTTGCTCTTAATTAAGGCTAACCTCAGTCCCTTTGATTGGGGGGGTGTGTGTGGGGAGACTGTCTGATGGCTGGTTTAGTACAGGATGGCTGAGGAGAACACCTGGGTCGGCCTCAATGAAGCCAGAGCTGGGTCAGATTGTAAAGAGGGGAGGCTCAGTGAGTACTGACTGACTTTCTGGAGTACGGCCAATTGCCATTCATGCCTTAGGTTTAGCTCCTGCTGGGTGCTGACTGGTAGGGTTTCTCATCGCTGGGCTCATTCCCCTTTGCCAAGTACCTCCCACAAGAATTCCGTCGTTCAGGCTGCTCCCTCGAGATAGGTAAAATGTCTCTATGGAGTTGCCACTTAATTGTGTTGCATGTGCTGGGGTGTGGGAGTCCGGGGCGGGGGTGGGGGTGGGGATTAGTGTTGCCAGACTGCAGTGGGCTCAAGACGCAGATGGAGCTGTTTTCTAGGTGGTGGGCCATCTCATGCCCGTTCATTCTGCTGTATCTTCTCCTGTCCACTGTCAGCCTGTCCTGTGCTGTCCCAGGCACAGCCTGTGTTGTCTCCTGTATTCAGAGAAAAGCTCAAACACCACCCCTTCCTTTAATATTGCCCATGCATCCCTCCCTGGACTCTACAAGTCATACATTAGCATCCTTTTCATTGTCTTCGTGGCACCTACGGTACTATCAGACATTGTCTTATTTGTTGCCTCTCTCCAGGCAGGGAGGGTCCATACCTGTTTCTTCACTATTGTATTTCCTGGGCCTAGAATAATGCTTGGCACACAGCAGGCTGTCCGTGACTATTTGCTGAATGAATGACTCAAAGAATGGAGATCGACTAAGGATGAGCCTCTTTGCCTCTTGCTTTTTCTTCCAACATACACTTGTCCTTGGGCCAGAGACCCCACCACTCTCTAGCAAAGCAATGAAATTGTTCCTGTTGACTCTCTGGCTCTCTCACATCGGCTTCTTTCTACTTTGAGCCCCAGTAGGGACCGAAATGTTAGGCCCCTTCAAGGTCTGAGAGCTGCGAGGCTGTGTGTGAGCCCCAGGTAGATTTGGGGTTAGAAGGCAGGGAGTTGCCTCCTTTCAGATCTCCCCCTGGGAACATTGACCTCATCTGGCCTTCCCTGCCTTTGGGCATCTGTGGAGGTTCCCTTACCACCAGCCCCAGCTCTCACAGCTCTTCCTCATCCATTGTGCCTCAAACAGTCACACAGTCCAGATAAAACCTGCCATTCTGGATTTCGTGCTATGGGCAGCTCCCCTTAGGAAATACCCCTGAATTGTACCTCTAGAAGGTGAGAGAGGATAGGCCTCTCTGTTGGGATCATTCTTTTTTGGGGTGGCTAGTATCTGAAGCCACATGAGCAGAGATCACTCAACCAAGGAGGGTTATTAATTCCGCCGGCCTCCTCTTGATTCCCTAAGGTCATTAGGACCATGGCCCTACCCTTTCTTAGAAGAGGAACAGGTCAGTGATAAGTCTAAGAAATACCAAGAGGGATTCTTGGATCCTGGCAGACAATGAGCCATGGCTAACGTGGACTGTGCTTAGGTTTCTTTGGGTTCTCTTATTTAATTTCTTTATTTAAATTCCTTCCCTAATTTAAGTTCTTTCGGAAAATCTCTGCTTGTCTCCTCTGGAAGAACCAGGCAGTGTCAAGCTGCGGGCAGTGTGCTGGCAGAACAGCTTCTTCCTGAGGGCTGGAAAGGGTAATGCCTGCAGGAATCCATGTGAGAAAACTCTAAGAAAAATGCAAGACTCAGAACTGAGCTGCAAAACCAATTCCCTCTCTATGACTATCCATCTCTGCTCAAATCTTGGTGATTCTATGGTCTGTTCGAGCATGGAGACTGTGCCTTTGGCCTTCTAGAAGGAAACCCACCCCACCTACCACATAACTCCTGTCCTACCCCACCCATTACACTCTAGGATTGTCCCAGAAATCTGGGTCAAGGCGGGGGCACTGCTACATTTCCTCCTTCAGTCTCAAACTGTGGTCTACGTGGTCTACAGAGAAAAAGAGGCACCATGAAGACCTGTGAGGACTTTTTTTTTCTTCTAAGAAGCCTCCCCTGACTAACTCAGAGACTGCTTATCTCCAGGTCACATCATGCTTTTAATTACTTAGTTAATGGCTGCTGCCCCAGATTGCATCTTTGGGGTTCCCCACTGAGCTCTGGCGCCCAGCAGAGAGCCTGGCACATAGTCGGTGTTGAATGAATGCTTCCTGGATGAACAAATGGGAGGTGGAATGACTGCACAGAGAAGTGGAAAATCCTTCTTCCTGGATAAACTTGAAAAGTATGGCCCAGAGATGATATATTCTCAGAGCTCGGTTTCTTGGTCTCCTTTGGATTTAAAACGGTGATGGAAAAGGAAACTGTGGGGGAACTCTGGCCAAGGATCCCTCCCTTGCATACAAGCCTTCACTGGCCAACTCTCAGCAAGGTGTGTTAAGGAAATAGAGACTTTGGCTTGAGTACCTCTTCTGCAAATGATTCAACTTCTGAAAAAATAAGGACAGAAATTTGACAAATATGCGGTGTGTATATATAATATATTCTTCCTATCTATTTATCTATGTCTAACTAGCTAGCTACCTACCTATCTTACAGTGTTCTCTAACGTTGTCTCAAAGAATCTGTCAATGGCCCAATGCTTCTCCATGCTTTTTATCTTCCTGAGAACAGGTCCAAGAGGAGACCTGGTGACCCAACAGCCAGATGAAGGACCTCAAATAATTTGCTTATTGGTGGGCATGGCTCAGAGATACCAGCTCTAGAGCAGAAACAGTCCTGCCCTGAGTCAGGTAACCTGGGTTTGCGCACCCCAGCTGGCTGACCTTGGGCAAGTCACTGCCTCTTTCCAGATGCTGGTGTCCCCAGCAACAAAACGGGGGAAGGAGGCTTCTGCCCCGATTTCCCTCCTTCTCTAACTTCCTGAGCTTGCCAGCTGGACTTGGGGTTTGCCCCACATGGGGGTCTCCACTGCTACCATGATGGAGAAGCTGAGGGAAGACAGGAGTGAGCCAGGGGCCTCTGCCTATGTGGAAATGCCAATCACAGGTTTCTTAAAGATGAGAAGTGCTCCTTCAAGGACATTTGTCAAGCTGGTAAAGTTCTCCTGATGATCTCTTAGAAGCTCTGCTGCTTCTGGAAATCACTCGACTTGTGATAAGAATTCTCTGGAAGGTTGCCTAGGAATAGAAGGAGGCAGCAGGCAAGGGGATTTCTCCTGCCCAAGGGGTTTCCTTGGCTTCTGGGGGCTCCCAAAGCTGCTTGCAAGTAAGAATATTTAGTCCAAGCTGGGAGGAGTGGTGATTTTGATAAGAAAATCAAGAGCCCCAGCCATGTTCCTAGCTGGCTCCAAAACTTGACTCTGGCTTTGACCTCTGGTATCGTTGGAAGCCCCGGCCAGCTCATCCCATCCCATTACAGGCTGCCAGGAGTCCCTGAATGGTCCCCAGCCTCTCAGACTGGCAGAACCTGGGGCTGAGGTTAAGCTCTGGGTTTAGCTCCTTTCTGTCTCGTAGACTCAAGAGCCCCGCTTGGCAGTTTGGGTCCACATTTTTCAAAGAGAGCCGTGTTTTGTTTTGTTTTTTTCTTGAAATAGCATTTCTTCTTTCTTTTCTTTTTTTTTTTTTTATTGTATCTCGATGCTAGAAAAAAAATGGCACATAACAGGTATCCAGATACAAATGGACATTTCCACAAACATCTTGCAAAACAACATCAAAGTGAAGAGTACAACCAACCGTCTATGTTTCAAGAAATGGTATCTTTCTCAGAGCACTTAATTAGCTTTCCAGAGCCAGCAACAAACCTAGACAAATCCCATCCGTGCAGGCATGGGTCTGCTAGGTCCAGAGCCACCTTCTTGACAAATCAAACAGGTCACTGTGGTTAATAACATTTGGACACAGATTTCAAAGCATGTGTAACAAAGTGAGGTTTTTTTTTTTCTTTTTGCATTTGAACAATAACAGAAATAAAACCCCAAAGCAAATAAAATTTGAAATGTAATGTAAAACCATGGTCCTCTGGGACCTGGCTAGAGTGACCATGTCTTTTCAGGGGGGTGATGCCAAATGCCCTTTTCCAGGAGTTTGAGGATGAAGGTGATCATGATCAGGGACAGAGAGTATCAGGCATTACAGAATGGAGGGGGGCCCAAGCCGGTTGCCTTTTGACTGAACCCTTGAGGTCCTTTTAGATTGAGATTGTCTCAAAGCACCCTCTTGGCATTTTAAAAGGGTTGAGATCATCTCCTTAACTTTGAGTCTAAAAAAATAACAAATACGATTTTATTTTTGGCCGGGATCTGCCCAGCTCATGGTGCCTCCAAACCAGGCAGAATGGAGGAATTCCCTCTACGTCAAAGCAACCATACCCTTGATGCAAGCCAAGCTCCGGGTCCAGGAGGGAGAGAATGCTGCTAGCATCCGGTGAACCACTCATTTGGTAAGAACAATCCAGACTGGATGCCTGGAGTTGGGAAATGTGTAAAATGCGAGTGGTGGGAGAAAGGGAGAGAAAGCAGGCATTTTTCTGTCCCCACGGGATCTCTGCCGCATGGCCATGCTGGGGAGAGTCAATGGGAAGAGGTCATTTGCTAATGTGCTAATTAATGCAGCATTTTCGACGAGCCATCCACATCATCGCATCTCATAGAGATGCTCCAAACTACCTGAGGACATTTGATTTCTGAAACATGGTCACTCTAGTCTCATCAGCAAGTAAAACATGGATGCGACGTGGCAATGAAAAGAAAAGATGTCACCAAAACAGCCGTTGAGCTCGAATGACAGAAATGAAGGACGGAGGTCTACACATCTACTTAGCTCTTGACTTCAGGTTTTAAAAATTCAGAGTTAACAAAGGAAAATCCTTCGAATTCTGACTGGTCAATATTCCTGATGACTTCCTGGTCGGGAGGTGTTAGGACTGGTGGATGGCGGGTGAAAAACCGGTCGAAGTTTTCAGCATTTCGCCCACACTATGAGAGGGGAAGAAAAGAACTTGTGGTAGGTGGAAAAAAACAAAACAAAACAAAAAACAAAAACAAAAAACCCAAACAAAACAGAACCAAACACAATGGGGCGTGGCTTGCTCCCCTGCCTCAGAGAGGTTTCAATGATCAGAAATGAGAGCAACATAAAATGCAAAATTCTCATGACCTTTGGTTCATGACCTGGGGCTCCTGACTCGCAGTTTCTAGGGCTCATGAGCTGCCCCTGGCATTCTGGTGACACCAGGAGCTGCATGGCAAAGGCATGAGATGGTGGGGCTGGTGGCGTGTGGTATGCGCCCTCCCCTCACCCCACCCCCCAACCCAGCTCCCAAGGAACTAGCCAAGCCCACCTGCTGAAAGAGATGGGATTAAGGTACCATCGATGTGTCGTGCGCCACCAGATGTGAAGGAACAAGTCTGTTACACAACATCTGGGAGATCCTGATATTTAGCAATGGATTCCCCAAAGTGCTCTCCTCTGGCTGCTAGTCAGGAACTACGGACGTGGCCAGTTATGAACTCTGGTCAGTGGACACGGATCCCGAGACCTGGGTGCGGTGCCTGCAATGGCTGGTCCCCGCCAAGCCCTGATTAGCTGGGTAAGTCCTTGACCTTTCATCACAAAGTGCCAGTGGAGGCCGATTCAGCTACTTTCTCTCTGGATGGGAGCGTAGGGTGTGGGAGGAGACCCAAGCCAGTGCTTGGCGGGGCACTTGGGTTCTGGAGAGGAAACCATCATCATGTCTCACCCTCCTTGGGGTCCTCCTATGTGCAAAGGTCTTGGTCTGAGGCGGGGTTGTAACGTGTGTGTGTGTGTGTGTGTGTGTGTGCATGCGTGTGCCCATATGCAGGTACATACAAATGTGCACACACTAGTTCCCACCGAATGAGAAGACCGTCACTAAATCTGTTTTAGTTTACCAGCAAACATGGGTACAGGGCTCTTAGAATCTGAGACACAGTGTCTACCGCAGGCAACCGCAAGCTAGTAACAGAGCAGTGGTAGTACCAGTATTCGTGTCGCCTTTGCCACCTGCCAGCTACCCCAGACCGCTCATCTTGCTTTATCTTATTTCATTCTCCCAGTGACCCCATGATGGGGACATTATCCCCATGGGACAGATGAAGAGACTGAGGCCAGGGGGACGGTGTCATTTGTTCAAGGTCACGCAGCCACTGAGGAGCACAGCTAGTCCCAGAGCTCTGACACCAGAGCCCGAGCTCCTGGCTCCATTCTACACGAGTGGGTCCCAGGCTGAGGAGGACAGGACCAAATGAGGCGGGGCTGGGAAGGGAGGCAGGAGTCAAGGATAGGGATGAAGAGGTCTCGGGTTTGAAGGACAGTGAGAATTAGGTTGCGTCAGCGGGCTGGGAAGGGAGGCAGGAGTCAAGGATAGGGATGAAGAGGTCTCGGGTTTGAAGGACAGTGAGAATTAGGTTGCGTCAGCCTCCCATACAGAGAAAGTGGGAATATTCCGAAAGACGGCTATTTCCGTGTGGATGCCATGACTCTGAGGGGCCAGGGAAGCTCTGGGAGATGACCTTGGGACAGGGGGTTAGTAGGACAGATTATGAGGTGCAGGAGAGAGGTCTTGAAAAAAAGAAAAAACACTGAAAGGACAGAGCATGGGAAGTGGAAGACAGATAAAGGTAACAGTAATAAAAACCGCAGAGCAGTTTCCAGGCAACTGGCGTTTGCTTAGGGTTTCGCATACATTACCTTTTGTTTCACAGAACCACCCCGGGAGGTGGGGGATCTGATTTCTATTTGCCAGTGAGACAATGGCCCCTAAAACCGAGAGCAGGAAGAGGAGACTCGGGATGGAGCACTGTCCCTCTCGCTGGGGACTGTGAGGATCCAGGGAGGGGACCACTGGAGCTGAAGGATCTCTAGGGGGTCGAGCACGAAAGTCCGGGGAAACGGGCCACGGATGAGGAGGTGAGCGCGGCCTCCAAGCCTGAGTCCCGGGCAGGGCAGAGGGAAGGTGAGTTGAGAAAGGTGAGGAGTGCACACTCCCCCTGGGCTCCTTCAGGCCCCAAGGTCAAGGGAAGCAGAGGTATGGGGGCTGTGTGTATGTGTGCGAGCATGTGTGTGCGTGTGCACTTGCGTGTGGACGCGGGCATGGGGCTCAGCTCCCAGAGAGCCTCAGAACTCCGGCTTTGTTCCTGTTTGGGAAAATTCTTTTCGGCCATGTTGATCTCTCTGCTTCGGGTCTCAGAAAACGAGAGGTGACCCCCCACCCCTGCCTGCCCTATAATCAAGACCTGGGCTCTGCCCTGCTGGCCGGCCGGGGAAAACTTTTGCCCACAAAAGGACAGACCCTCAACACAATGGTCAGGATTATAGTCCAGTTTCTTCCATTGCTTATGCATCTTTTTTTTTTTTTCATTTGAGCAGTATTTATTGAGTGCCTACTGTGTGCCAGGCCCTGTGCTAAGAGTAAGTTCTAACAAATCTGTGCTTTGTAGGACTGGCATGGGCTGCAGGGGCTAGAAAGGCAACCAACAGGTGAATAGAAAGGGAACTGGGAATGTGCAGAGTTGTGTTCATGCCAGACACGGGAGGCAAGTGGTATTAAGAAAAATGAAGTCAGGCCAGGGATGCAGAGCGAAGAGAATGCCATTTTCGATAAAATGGTCAGCTCTGAGGAGATGAGCTTGGAGCTATTTGAATGGGGGAAAAGCATTCTAGGTGGAGGGAAGTGCGTTTGCAAAGGCCCAGAGATGAGCACGTTTGCTCGGCCAAGGCCCCCTGATAGTGGGGAGGCCACTGTGGCCAGAGTGGTGATCAAGAAAAAGGCAGAGCAGTGGTGGTGTGGGGGTGGGGTGAGAGGGGTCCAGGGGCCAGATCACGGGCCTTCCCATCTCTCTACCTGGTGAGAAGTCGCTGGAGGGTTCTGTGTGCCCAGCACCCTCTTGCTTGGGTTTCTGTGTACAAAGCTGATGGAAGAGCGAGGGGCAGGGGTATCAACCGGGAGGTGAGAGAGGATGGTGGCTCAGAGGAAGGTGCCCTTGGGGGGCATGGAAAAGTGCATCTGGACTGAGGGGACGGGTGGCAAGTTATGCTGATGGGTCAGAAATGGGGTATTCCAGGAAGGGAGGGTATGTCAGCGACCCCACAACTTTGCTCCTGAGCTCTGGGGAGAGTGGGGTATGCTCGGGGTAGAGAGCCTTCAGGGGGGGGGGTCATTGGACACTTGCTTTCCTGTTTGATAGGTCTGAGTGTCCAGTGGGGATGTCGAGGGTGTGGGGACCGAAGAGGGCCGGCAGCTAGACTGATGGCAGAGGCGCCAGGGAAGGTAGAAGCTGGCTGTCATCATCCAGAGCAGAGAGATGGGGAACAGGGCCAAGGGGCAGAAGGGCAGTGGCGGACGCCACCCTCAGTGGCCGGAGCCAGGGACCGGTGTGTGGGACTGAGCGAGCACAGTGCAAAGCACACCTGTGTGTGCTCCTCTTTGGCCTGTGTACTGGGACCCAAACCAGCCAGCATGGAAAGCATGTGAGTGGAGACCTGGAGTCTTCAGGGGCCATTTTTCTTTAAAAACCATCAATTTCCCTCCCGTGCACACCAGAAGGCTGCAGCTTGGCCGGGGCCTCCCCAGGGGCTGTGATAGGAGAGAGAGAAACAGCTCCTGGCAGCTCCGAGCCTCTCCCCCTCCCCTCACCGCCTACCCCGCGTCCGAGAATAATGAAATCTTTAAGTGAGATAGCAGGGAGGAGATGCAAACGCAGGGGTTAACCAAGGGGGCACAATGCGACGGGAGCGTGATTTCCTTGCTAATAAGCAGCTTACTCGGGGCTGGCAGATCACAGCCTCCCTAAGTGTTTCCGTGTTTTTCAAATGGAGCTGTCACTGCCCATTAGCTTCAGGAGCGCTCCCTAAATGGAGACGTCAGCCCTTGGGAGGCACAGCCCAGACCAGCTCTGCGCCTGTGGTGTCCTTGGAGAACAGGGCAGCTCTGCGGCTGGGATGGAGTGACACATACACCGCGGGGACCACACCTGCTTCTCTGGTGGTCCTGAGTGGGGACCGATACCTCCCTGAGCTCTTGAAAGAAACCCCCCACTCCCCTTGTCATCAGGGCATACCACCAGAGCTCCCGCAACAGCGACAGGGACCCACACCCACTCAGTGCCCGCTCGCTTGCTTTTGCTTGGTTACTGAAACCACAAAGCACCTCTTCCCCAGGTGGGGAAGAGGGGAGTGAGGGTTTTGACTTGTTCAATTGCGCCTCCGAATCTGAGAACCTAGACAGTTTGAAAAGCTTATCTGTGAGCTGTTACATGTGAGCTCTTTTTTTTTTTTCCTCCCCCTTCTTCTCTTCTAATTTCTGTTTCATTGTGTTAATAACAGCTCCGAGTCTAGCTGTCGAATGTGGAGCTGGCTTAGTCACAGCAGCCATGGGGACCTTTCAGATGCCAACCTGGCTATGTCACTTCTCTGCGGTGCTCCCCGTTGCCCGGGAACACGCTCCTTAGCATGGCTTACAGGGCCCCTTTGGACTTGGCCCTGGGGACCTGGTCACTAGCCCCTTGCTGCCCACTCCCCCACCCCCAAAACACCCTCCAGCTGTACTCGGGGCCCTGGGTGTCCCAGGAGGCTTACGCACTCTGTCACCTCCCAGCCTTTGCAATGAACTGCCTCCTCCACCAGGCACAGCTGCCTCCCACCCTGTCCCTCCACTCCCAGCCCCTACTAGGCCATTGCCTGCGCATCCTGCTGGTCTCCAGACAGATGTCGCTTCCTCCGGGAGCCTTTCCCTGGACCCCTCCTCTATACTCCTGGGTTTAACCCCCCAAGATACAGATGTTCATCAAAAAAATTGTTCGAGAGGGGGAAAAGAAGTTGACATCAACTATCCACCAATAGGGAAAAAAGTTAAATCCTACATCGCTCTGATGTAGTATCATGCAAAAACACTTTTAAAAATGAAAAGGAGATTTAGAAGAATAGTGACATAGTTACATACAATTGCTAACGGCGT